TTTTTGGAAGAGGAAGAAGGCACTGAAGAGCATGTTGGGGAGACACTATTTCTCCTTGATTCCCATGTGCACTTCTAGCTTAATTTCTGCCTGATTTATTTTCACAGGAACTAGTGAAGGGAACATGTCAGCTGCTGTTATTGTTGAGAATTGAAATTGAATGCCTTTGATAAAAATTGAAAGGACAGTCCCCTGATACATTTTCCTTTCCCAAGTCTCTTATGGTAATACATAGTAAGCGTTAACAGAAGTAGCACTTGGACCATTTCAAGCAATTGAAGAGAAAATTCAGTAGAAGCCCTGCTGAATTAACCAAGCCTAGGCAAGCTTGATATTTTATTTTTCTAATAGAATTTTTTTACCAAGCTTTGTTCATTACCACTTGTGTATGGAAATCAGAGATTCACAATGAGATCATAATTCATTCTTCATATATAAATGTTACACGTACAAAATGCATGTAGAGAACGTTATTAAGAATGCAAAAGCAAGCAGTCGAGAGAAGAGGGTGTTAACATTAAGGCTGGCATTGCAACCTAAATTCAGCTTCTCTTATGCATATGCATTATGGTGAAGTCTTTAACTATAAGAACACATAATACTTTTCCAGAAGACTTCTTCCTTACTCAGTATGCAAGATGGACAGGAGTCAATTAATGAGCAGCTCTTCAAGATGATGTTTTATCCTCAGTGTTTGATATGTGGCCCTAAGCCTTATTTACAGCACATCGTTCAGACCCTGCTCGGGAGTCAGAATTATTAATTTCCTCATAGGCTTTTCTGTGCTGCTCATCGCTACTGTATCCAAGTGCTTCACAGGTTTTAAATTAAATTTATCTCCACAAAACCCCAGTGAGGGATGCGGTATTATCTCTGTTTTACAGATGGGAAACTGACAGAGATTAAGGTCAGAAAAATTCACCAAATTTGGATGCACATTTTAAGACTTAAGATTGGATTTTTAGAGCACTTCAGATCATGTAGTACGCACCGTGTTCAGAAAACAGCACTTGCTACTTCAGCTTCAGGTGGGTCTAGATATCTTCCCCAGCATTTCAAGTGTGTAAACTGAAAATTTATATGGCACTACTGATACCTAAGGAAAAGTTTGTATTTGGTACCTTGTGTGGCATCACACAGGAACTCTGAGCTTTCTCTGAAAGAGGCAGAACTTTGGTGAATCACCTGCAGAGGAGAAGAAGCAGTGGGTCCTGTTGAAAACTCTAATATATGATTTTATTATTAAAGACTGTTTCTTAATGCTTGCGCACAAATTGGCATTACACAAGCCATCTGAATTCTCATCCTTGTCAATTTGATTGTTTGATTTTTGCAATAGAGAAAGTTTAATTGGGAATATTAAAATTCATGATCCAGTTAATTTGGAGAATGAGTATTAATTGAGAAACCATATTGCCTAAAAGGTAGTACTATTGTTTCTGTTATAAATATTAAGAGGATCTTTCCAAATGTACTTTCATTTATTTTCATAGTATATTCAGTGTTCTTTCCTCTATGAAGACATTCTAAACACCAGACGATTCATGAGCAAGTCTAGCAAAATACTATTCCTCTGTTTAGGAAAACTTTAGTTGGTGATTTGTATGTGTTATGTCCACATTTTGTATAGCAAGTACATTTACATGTACCTGACCTGACTTGTATTTTCTCCGTTGGCAGTTTACTTTATGCCAGTTCTTTTAACCTTGCTGGCTGCTAGAAGAGTAGCATAGATAATTCAAGATAACTCCTTAGTTCTTCATAGTCCTTTAAAACCAGCGGTATGGATTTGAACCAAGGCTAAATATAGTGATTTGTGAGTCATTCTGTTAATTTTGGAGAATTTTCATTTGATTAGAGTAACCAAGGAAGAAATATTTTACTGTATCCTTTTCTGGCAGTTTGTGCTCTCCTAAGTCTATCTGTGCTTTGTTTTCTTATCCATAAGATTAATATTTCTATATATTTTTCCAAAGCTCTTTGAAATCTTTAGCTGACAATGACTAGAGAAGTGAAATGTTTCTTGTGTGCAGTGTGGCTCTGCCAATCAGAACAGTGGCTGCGTATGTTGTAATTGCCCAGCTAGTTATAGAAGCAATTTCTTTAAACACCTTTTTAGTGTTAGCCTACTGTTAGCTTATTATTAGACTGCATTCCTCATATTGTGCCAAGTGCATAGCTTTTATGGAACTGGAAGGCTACACTACATGTAGAAAGTTGGGAGGTTTTGTCCTGGCTATGAAATGCACTTGTGTAAGCCAATAAATCTCTTATAACAACAAGAGAAAATGAATTTTTCAGCAGTTTCAGTCAAAGTCTCTTTTGTTTACAGTTGTAACCTTTTCCAGGCTGCCTAGAACCAGCTATTCCCAGAGCTTTATGGTATTGCTGTGGCGTTACTTACAGAACAAGTTCTTGCTATTGAGAAAAAAAATGAACGTTATTGAGAACTTCGCTCGGCTAAGTATAATTACCTACTGAGTAGCTTGTGTAGTACATATGTATAATGTAAATGATCTTTTAAATAATAAAGACAAGACAAATTACATCCATTATTTAAGAGGTGCAATGGTAGTCCAAAGTTTTCATTAGAAATAACCAATTTATGCCCACCTTCGGTGAAATATTTGATACTGGTACTCAAGCAGTCAGGGCTGTAAGTGGAGGGCTGTGGAACTGAGCTAGCAGTCTGTTTTATGAGTTATCTGTCCAGTGGAAACCAGTGCGGTCTGAGGAATTCACAAATAAATCAGAGCTTCAGCTTTGATAAATGCCAGCCAAATTCTTGAACCCACAGAGGGATCTCCGGTTCAGTTCTCTGCCAGTTTGCTGTGCTTCAGCCTAAACATTCATCCTGCAAATTGTAGATTAAGATTTAATCATGTCTATAGGTTTCTAATTACTCATGAATATCTTATTAGAAAGCCTTGCTGGCAAGGAACTCTAAAGCACTCTCAGTAGATTATACAGAAATTTGTTCCAGAATTAGTTGCAGGACGGTCATCTGGCACCCAATTCTTGTTTAAAATGTTATCAGGTTTACTGACAAATGAGAACATAATACTGCCTCAGTTATTCCAACTCACTGTGTGACCATAAATGTTTTTTTTAAATCTTGAAAAGTTAAAAGGAGTAACGCTAAAACATTTTTTGTTGATGCCTCAAGTGATGCAGAGTTGAAAAGGAAGCCAGAAATACAACAAAAACATACAAAATTATTTGCTTGGTTTATGGCTTGATTATATGACTCATGCAATTCTGTATGGTGAGACTAGGTCAAAAAATAGTCATACAGACTGTTGTCTAAAAGGAAAAAAAATCAGGAACCTTAGGGTAGTTACAGATAGATTAAAATGTATATTTTTCAAGGATATTTGGCAACCACGAAGTAAAAAGTAAGCTGGAGAATGATGTGCATATACAGTTAAATGTTACAGTTAGTACATGCTACGACATACTTACGACATAAGACCATTAAAATAATACACTTGTAGAAATTATGTGCACTTAAGAATTTTCCTATGTTTAAAGAAATGTTTTAAGCATCTTAATATTTTACCAAAGACAATGCAGGCCATCATATTGAGAATGCATGTTTAGACTCTTTACTACAATATCTTACCCTCTGTTTTTGACTTCTCAGTGTTTCTGCTGCAAGTATTACAGTGGAGAAAATACCTTATTACATCTATATTTTTGAAATTGGACTTTAAGAATATTGACAAGATTATCTTTGACTTCTGTTGCTTGTGTAAATTAATCAAAGGGGAAAATACTGGAGTTGTGTTAAGTCCCAATTCTGAAAGTAACCTACTGAAGCTAGAAAACTATATGATACAGTTTAGTGGTTAATTTGCTAAGTGTTTATGTCTACAGTGGAGGAAGACTCATAAAGAAAGCAATTTAATGTGAACATCTTTAAGTATAAAATGTGCTTCAGAGATGCATGCAACAACGATGGCTATTTCAGCAGGTAGCATAGTAGTCATTGCCCCACTCTAGACAAGGCTTACTGTAGCATTACGATGTTGCACAGAAATTATTGTCCTCTGTTATTCCAATTTGAGAGCCTAAGTTTCACTACTGTTATGTCAGGACACCACACTACAGCCTGTTCTCCAAAGTCCAGACAGTTGAATACAAGAAAATGGATTCACTCAGAGAGATCTATTGCTGTAGCAATGTTTTCTAGAAAACATGAAAAACAAATTCGCCCCAGGGTGATTGTGTCCATGGCCATGTTCCACACAAAAGTTTAGGCTGAAATGGACAAACACTGCATTGACCCTTCTTTTCATAAGCGTCTGTCACCTGTGTTTTGAGGTCTGTGACCAGTGGAGGCTCTGACAAACCTCATGTTGGCTTTAGACAAGGAAATTTGGCTCTCTTGGTTGAGAAGGAGAGAGAAAATACTCAGGTCTCATTGCTAAGATCTAAACCCAAACCTGTTAGGGTTAGTATCTTACTGGACTAAATCTAATGCATGTGTGTATTAGACAACAGGAACTGCAAGCCACTTTTTCTCCGCAGAAAATACCTTATGTAAAGGGGTTGTATTCAGTAAATAGATATATTTTGATATAACCCTAGTAGGGTCCATTTTCTACTACCAGATATGCAATATCTCCTGAAAAATAATCACATAAGACTGCCCTATTTTTGCCTAAATTTAGTTAAGTCATTGTGTTCAGAATTATGTACCCAACCACAGTAAACTGTAAGTAGGTTCCCATCATACTTTAATGCTGGCTTGACAGAAAGAGTTTGTTTCCCTTTCCAAAATTTGCTTAATCTTTCAGTTGGCTTGCAACCCAGTTATCATTCAACATTACCTGGTTGACTTGAGTACCTCATAGTGCACTGTTCAAAAATGCAGAGAGCTATGATCCTTGCCACAGGTATCTTTGATAAACACGGGGAAGCAGCCAGAAAGCAGGATTTTTATTTGCCATTTTGTGAACATACCGTCAAGTATACAGAGCGCATTTGTGGAAAATCAGAGAGAAAATATGTGCAGAGAGGGAAAGTTAAACCTAGAAAAGTGTACAACCTCTTTTTCTCAGACAGATTCCTTTACTCGTGACTACCTTTCTTCAAATAGTTCACTAAAGCGTACAGTCTGTATTTTTTGAAAGATTTGCAAACCATTTTGTGTGTTTACAGCTCTTTTCTCTATTTTCTTTCCACCATTGTTTGCATGCAGTTTGCAGTCCTGCTGGTTTAAATGAACCAGAAATAGTAAGAAAGTCATGCATGCTTGCATTTTGCCAGTGACTATTGCATAAACATTAAAAAAAAAAAATCTAACAAATTTCAGCATTCGAACAGCACTTCATCTTTTAGTTGTGTAGTATATAGACATGTACATGTACCGTGGTGATTATATAATTAGACCGTACAGTTTTAACAGTCCATTTTTGGTCAGTGGCCTTGACCTGCTTATCATGACGGGAGCATCTTTTCCCTCCCAACTGTTACAGATGTTGCTTGGCAGCAGGCAGCGTGCATCTCTGGGCTGGCCACTCGTCACATGCAGAAGCCTCACTTAACCACGGCACTGCTGTAACTCGCTTGTCTGGGATACTCTAAGAGCCATGGGGGAGGGCTCTCATTCTTGTGGGGAGAACAAAAAGAGGTGTGGGAAAGATGGAGACATAAATCCTTTGAAATGAGGCTTCATTAATTCCAGTGCCGATGGAACAACCTGGCTTAAATGGTTTTATTTTGGAGAGAACACGCATATATAAGGTGGTTAAAATGAAAGCTAATGGGATGTCTTAAAGACTCCAACATGTAGCATTAGACATAAATGCACTGTACATAAATGTAAAGAACCCACTATCTGGTATTATTAGCTATACACAAATGTAAATATGACAATAAATTTTCATTAAATGACTCTTCTAATCTATGTGCCTGAGGAACTGTTAGGTGAAGTACAGTGTCTGCATTTTCCTCTAAATGTTTGTGTTACATTTATTAATTCAGCAAGATAAAATGCTTGTGGAGACACTTGGGTGTCACAGGAATTGCTCCAAATATAACAAATTTGTAGTATTACAGAGGCAAAACCACAGTCTAGTATTAATACATTGCATTCAGAATGAACTTAAGTATGATAAAGCTAATCCCATACTTGTTCTTACTGTTTGTGTCTTATTTTTCTTTACATGGGCAAAACGTATGGTCAGAAGTCACTGTATATGTGTGGCTATTTTCTTTTCTTTTCAATCTTTCTGAAGTTAATTTTCTGTTCAGTATGCTGGATTTACTTTAACTCTGCATTCCTTTAACTAAAGTAGTTTCATCTGAAGAAGGTGAAACTTTTTGCATCTTTCAGTTTCTCTGGTGCTAAGTATCAAAAAGTTTAAAGGACAAAAGAACAAATTACAGAAAATCAATCTTTAAAAGTGTATACTGAATCAATAGGGTGTTTTGAAGTGACGTAACTGGTTTCTCAGTGACATAAGTTAAAAAACTTCTGGACTGTGTCTGGAAACTCACTATGCAACATCTCTTGCTCATCACACACTTATTTTTCTCTGGCCTTGTGCTGGCCCCGAGTTGTGTGGACCATCCTTTTGCCATAGCACAGCCTGTGCTCACTCTCCTTCTGATTGTGCTTTGGTTTATACCATCATAGAATTTTGGGAAGAGCCATTTCTCTCTTCTCCCCATGGATTTTTACTCCTTGAATCTTTTCTCTTACCTCCCTGCAGCTTTTCTGCAACTCTATTTGCCCCATCTCTTCTGTCCAATACTACAGATGTCCAAACTGCATTCACTCAAATAGTAAGCCACTTCAGGGGAAGGCTTAGTCTTGGCGTGTATTTCTAAAGCCTATAAAGTGACTTTATGTAGTGCTATTTAAGTAATAAATAAGAATGCTAAAACACCACAGCTTTTTCTCCTCTCTGCATTTTTAAAACCACCTTTTTCCACTGAAAGGTATAGCAAAAGAACATTCGTAGTTGTTCCATCATGTCAGCTCTCTTAGTTTGTAGCCTCAAAAGAAATGAGTTTTAACTCAAGTGTTTCAATGTGCAGTGAGCTAGTCTCTATAGCGACCTTCCTCCCCCAACTCTGCCTTCACCAGGGTAGAGTTTTCCTTACGCTTATATCAAGAAATGTCACAATCTTTTATTGTTCCTCTAGCATGCAATGTACCCCTAGATAACCACCCCAGAAAAAAGGATTTTCACAGTGTAATTTCTGCCATTTACTGCATACTGTGTAGCATTTTCTTAAATTTTTCCTTTTCTGCCTTTCACCTTTCTGCTTTAAAAAAATGGCATGATTGATATTAGTATTTTTTCCTGATGAAAATGTATTTTCCCTTGATCTTAGTGTTGGTAATACATTATTCAGTGTTCCTTCTTAATAAAAGCCATTGGTTGTTCCATTACTCACAACAGTTATTACAACACTAAAGGTCTCGTTCATCAGAATGACTTGCAGAGGCAAAACCAAAACCCTGATTTCTCCATGCATCAGGATAATAGCTATGGTGGATGCCAGTTAGTAAACAATGTTTAAAATATAATGGGGAGGGGGGTGTTGGTTTTTTTGTTGTCGCCCCCTCCCCCCGGAGATTAACACTAAGGAAAGATTTGTGAACATCACTTATTTTATTGCTTATGTATGCTTGTACATATTTTGCTCTTTCAGTAGAAGTCAATGAGGAGGTGAACCCGTTGGTTGTATACCATTTCATAAAATACCTTCTCTAGAAGCTCTCTAGAAAGCTCTAGATCAAGTCTTGGAATTGTGATTCTGTTTGAAAGATATCTTCTCTAATAGGGTGGTGTGTTGTGGCATAAAATGGACATAAATCAATTCCAGAATAATGCAAGACAGGAATTTTATTTCATGTTAGTCACCATAAAAGTTTTTTGAAAAAAGTAAAGTTGCAGGTATAGCTAGGGTGTCAAAATAGCAAAAAAATTTTCATGTGATATTTGGAAACAAGTCCTAGTATATGGGAAAGTTGAGCTGTTACCTGAGCACAGAGGCAAACAATGAGCTTCCGCTGCCAGAATTATTTTCTCAGTATGGTTAAATGCTATATGAGTCATCTTCTAGTGAAGACGACATGAAGACATATGGACAGTTGAAGGATGTAGTGCGTTTAGTGCTTTTATGACTCTTTGAAGCCCTCATTTTTCTTTACGTTTAATGGATTATATAGTTCTTTTGCTTCTACAAACCTTTTCGTTTATTGCACATAACTTTGCATTCTTTACCTGAATTATAAGAACAAACAAGTTGGCCCAGTTTGTATTCCAAAATGCTTGCTATAGAAATGAATTTGACAACTACTTCTACATAATTTAAAAATACTTATGCCCTCTATGTGTATTACAGATGGGTATATTGCTTTTGATATCTAGCCTGATTCTGCTTTTGTTGATTAATTTGTCAATGTTGTGATTCCTTTATAGTATTGCTACAAAGCTGTTCACATCCTTTTAGGTGTCTGTATCCTTCTTGGTCAACGAAGACTTGGGTGTCTGGAGGTTTTAATTGTTTTTTGGGGGATTGGGGAGGGACAGACCGGGGTTTTTGGCTTGGGGTTTTTTTTGTTTGGTTTGTTTGGTTTCTCTGGGGGGTTGGTTTGGTGTTTGTTTGTTTTTTGGTTTTTTTTTTTAAATGAAGACTGTAAAAGTCATGGCAATGACAGACCAGACAATTTGGAGAGGGGAAACTGAGGACAGACTTACATGGCGTGTGCCTGTGTGTACCCACACATTAGCTTATCAGGTGCAGTAGACAATCTGTTTAATGCCTGAAGAGGAATAATTTTGAAAAAATGTATAGAATTTACGTTAAAAATAAATAAATAAAAGGGAAAAAGAACCAAAACAAATGAAGATCTAAAGGAGGCAGCAGGAAGATGTTTTAGTAGCATGTAAGGCTCCCCTTAAACCTTAAAGTGTCCATACTGGCATTTAGAATGGATCCCAGTTTTGCTTTATCCTGGGGGCTGTAAGTTCAGATCCCAGTACAGCTAGTGTATGATAGTATTGTATTTGACCTATAGTTTTAAAATAAGCTAACAGTGTTTTGTTTGAATTTTGTGCATCTTCCGTTTTAAATATATTATGTTGAGGGCTAGACTGGTTGCAGAAAGGGCATTGAAACAGGTTTAGAGGCATGCAGCTTTACTGTCAGGAGCCACAGGCGAAGATGTACATCAACTCACTGGTGGTGGGCAGAGTGGGAAAAAGAGAGAGCCTTGTTCAGCAATAGCCAAAACATTGATGTGTTACCAGCACTGTTTTAGTCATAAATCCAAACCACAGTACCATACAGGCTACTGTGAAGAAAGTTAACCCCATCCCAGTTAGACCCAGTACAATTGGGAACTATCTGGTTTTCATAAGGACCTGCTCATTAGGCCTCCCTTGGGTTCCTGCTTGGGATGCTATTAACGTTAACTGGAACATGCTATGCTCAGGGCTGGGTGATGCTTGGTCGGTAAGCATTGTGTAGGCATGTTCTTGGGTCCACTGGTGTAACCCAAAAGCTACAAACAGGCAGGAGGAGAAGGGGGCGGAGGATCGGATGATTCTCCCGGTGGTCACAGTTATGCCCTAGGAGAATCTGCTGTAACAGCAATACCAGGTTTTCCAGGTGCAAGACTGTGAGATCAACGCTGTGAGAGCAGAATGGAAAAATACTGTCCCGGAGGGACTGGGAAACGCTGCTGCAGCTTGGGTGAAAGGGAACGGAGCTGCAAGGGGAAGGCAGGCTATGGGAATGCAAATGGATGGCCCTTAGCATCATACACATTAAGGTGCTTAGGTACTATGCAACAGGCCACAGACTATACTAATTTTAAGTGTAGATAATTTAGCTTGATTGACCATGCTAAGAAAATGGCAATATATTTAAACAGTAATAATGTTGATGTTTTCTTCGCTGCTAGATTAAGCAGGGGAAGCCATGTGTAGTGGATTCAAGTCCATCATAATCTGCGTATGATGTGAGAAATCAGTCCTTGTCAACACA